CAATAAATACTGAAAAATTCATTTTGGCCAGAAGCCATGTAAAATTATAGCGTGGCATTCAACGTGTTAAAGAAACAAAAAAAAGTGTAAATCTAGCTAAGCTTAAATACATAAAAAAGTGTAAAGATTGTTTTTAACACATAACAAAATTGGAGTAAACAAAGAAAATTGGACTGTAAACAGAAAAGTATTTATTTATAAAAATAACTACTCATAAAAATAATTATTATTTATAAAAATATTGAATAATTGAAAAAATTTTTTTGCATTTACTTGGAACACAGTTAAGACAGAAAGTAACAAAAAAAATATAAATAATTTGGTTAAATTTAGATTACACAAACATTAAATTGCCTTTCAGAGAGCAAAAAAAAAAAAAAAAAATTATGTCGCTGTATCAAGTTTATACAGATAGCTTTACCTAACAATCAATATATTTTCTTTCGAAATATATTGTTATCAAAATTGCTTCGCTTCATATTTTTTTACTACATTTCAGGAAAAGCATTAGTTATAGATTAATAAAAGCTTTTTGATAATGTTATGCTAAGTAAGTAATGTTATGCTAAGTAAGTAACACAGGTAAGGTAGCAATAACAATAAAATAAAGGTTTCTTAAAAATTATTATCACTGACGCTGAATTAGAAAGATTTACTTGTTAGCTTTTCGTGACAGGAAAACATGGAGTATAAAGTGTTGATCATTGAATATGAAGTACCAAATACTTTTTGTATATAGTATTCAGAATATATCGATAAATCATTAAGAATTTATCTTGAAAAATGCCAGTGGAACAACAGCGATTCTGCATATCTAATCCATTCGTGATCCAATGAATGTTATGCAAATAATATTTTTTATTTATAGTTATTGATTACAAAGTTATGTAAATTATACTGCACTTGTTAACAATCCTTTAATATTTTTAAAAAGTTCAAGCTGTTAAGTACTTTTTATTATTTTATTTTAAACATAGAGCAAGGTACTCATCACTGCCATCACTCAACCATGACCAAAAATCCCATTTCTAAGGCTTTACTTTTTAACGGCCATGGTTGGAATGCCATGTAATTTTGATACTGGTCAGATATAGTGGACTCCGCTTGAGCTAGCTCTTTTCAATCTTCGGCACGATAACCAATGAGAGAACACTCAGCCGTGGCGGAGTTCATGTGCACCTTGCAAAGTATACACGTCAGTTGTTTTATACATTGGATCAAACTCCTTACCCTAGTCCTCTAATAAGCAGTGTGAAAAATATTTTAACTAGCTGTGCCACAAGAGCACCCTGGAGCAGGCTATTAACCTTTCTTAAAAATCAAATAAATAAAATTTTACTTTCAAATGTTACATTTTTTAAAAGGAAAGTTTTTCAGTCGTAAATAATTATATATCCTATGTTATCTATTTTGAGTCATAAATTCAGAACTGAAATTTGAAATTTTAAACTTAACGCTGTGATGTTAGAATAAAACATTTTGAAGCATTACTTTTACAAAATAATAACTAATTCAAAATTAAAAATCAACAAATCATTAGAAGATAGTTTTTTTCTTTCATGCTCACACCATATTTAATGTATTAATAAAGAATAATCTTTTTTTTTCTTCAGGTGTATATCAACTGTAAGTTTAGTAGCAGTTTTTTTTAAATAATTTTAATTAGAATATGTATATCCAAATGTCACTTGTTTTTTAAAATAGCTAGTGATTGAAAGTATACTTTTCATAATTATAATAAAAATTCGAAAACATTCTTCGTTGTTTTTTAAATTATTTAATTATTCTCTGAGAGAAATTCTGTGAAAGCTCTTGATTATAAACTAAGATAAACAAAAAAGCAAATTGGTTTATTCAAATAAAAATAATTTCTTATTCATAACAATCGCCACATTGAAAACCCCATACAACAGAATGATCAAACACTACAGAGCAAATATAGGGCATTTTAAAAACATTCTTCTTAATATTATAATGATAAAACATAAATGCTACAACTACATAAGAAATGTAAACATCATAATTAGGGTTAAGGGTTAGCTCCTCGCTTAAACATTTTTATAAGATTTGTAGCAGAAATAGTTCATCAATAATAATTAAAATGTATTAATAAGAAATATGCCATCGTTAATTGGAAATGAATATAAAAATAAGATATAAGCATAAGTTTTAAACTTACCAAATTCAAGCATTGAGAACATCACACGCGCCGCATACATAGCGTTTGCCACATTGCCCGGGTTGTAAATGTAAACAATCTGCTCGCAGTGGGTGGGAGGGTAGAAGACAGGAAACGGAAGCTGGGCTTTTCAGATGGCTTTTTGTTTGATTAAAGACTCCATGATTAAACTCTTGTTAATTTTCAGTAAGTGAATAAAACTGTACGCTTAAAGCATTTGTGAACGAAAACTGTTCATACAGCTTCAATGAGTAAAGATATTATATATGTACTTAAAAACAAAATTAATGAACACAAATTTTAAAATTTCATAAAATTAAACTTGCTTTGTTAATGTGAATGCTACGTGACTGTTGCATCAATTTATGAAAAAATAAAACTAATAACTACTGTAAATATGCGATCTATTTCTTAATCAGGTATATGGTATAAACTTAAAATTCGAATCTCGGAGAGTAAATTGGTTATACATTCAACTTGGCAAAATTTCCAATCATTCAAATTTTAATAATGTGCGAGTTTTTGATTAATAAAAATTGATCTGATTGGTGTATTGAATTCCGTAGATACCAGTTAATGTTTCATAAAAAATAAAACATTTAAAATAGAAGTCAAATAAAACATTTTCTTTTCAATCTCAAATTAGTATTTTGTATGTTTCATGAAAGGACAAAAAAAAAAAAAAAACCANAAAAAAAAAAAAAAAAAAAAAAAAAAAAAAAAAAAAAAGGCAGAAAACCTTTTAAATATATACTTTAATTAGAGAATAATTGAAATTCTCAAGCAATTAAACGAAAACTAAGATCTGAAAAACTAAGATTGAAAATATCACAAGACAAATTTTGTGTGAACTGAAAAAAATTTTAAGAAATCCTTGTTCAAACTTAATTCACCTTAAAGATATTCAAAATGTTTTCAAAAATTTTCAAGATATTCTGAAAAATCTTAAGTTGTTAGTTAAAAAAGTTAAGTTAAGGTAACATTAACTCAGGAAACTTTCTTCAAATTTCCTTAAGACAAACTTAATTTATCCTAAAGATATCCCAAATGTCTGAAAAAATTCTTAACATATTTTAAAGAATCTTAAGATGCTTTAAGGTAATTCTAACTCAGGAATATGTCTTAAGATTTTCTTAAGAATTTTTGAAGACAAATTTAATTCACCTTAAAGATATTCAAAATGTCTGTAAAATGTCTGCAAAAATTCTTCAGATTTCTGAAGAATTTCTTAAGAAAATGACATTTTCTTAAGAAAATCTTAAGATTATTTTTAGTGGGGTTCCACCCCATTCCTAAAATAATTGTCTTCGTTATTGTAATGATTAACTTTATATGACCTACACAAGTGATTCTAGACACTTTTCATTTTATGTAATGTTGTCTTTGAAATTTCTTTTTACAGTTGAACTTCAAAATCACAGACTTTGATGATCTGTATTTTAGGATATCACGGAAAAATCTAAATTCCCATTGCATTTTCTATGATGATAATAGAAAAAAACCTTTACGTTTCTTAGTGACCCTTAATTATTTATTGATTTTGAAATGTGTCTTATCTTATTATCAAACATAATATTTGAAGAAAGAAAAACTTTTATTTTTTGAGGAATTTATAAATTTTTCTTGAACTTTAATTCTTTAAGATGTTTGAGTAAATTTATAAACTATTAAAAAACGAGGTTGTTAGATTTGGTAAGAAGCTGCCTAAATCATTTAATACTAAGGAAGTTAACTTATAATATTTGTACAGAGATAAGATTATTTTTCTATAATATTAGAAAGAACTTGCTAGTTTAATGGATACAAGAGAAACTGATAATGATAAGAAGTAGGTACTGTGGTCTATACTGATGACCACACTTTCACTACAGTGGTGACTTAGAAAAAAAAAAACAGAAATTTTAAGTGGTTTCAAAAGCATTAAGATTAGGAAAATAATAACATTTCTGCAAAACATAAAATTGAATGAAAAAGCAAACATATCAACATTGTTTAAAGTAACTATTTCCCCCCCCCATCTTTTTTAAATAAATAAATGTTAGGCATTTTTTTTCTAAATGTTAGTACGGTACGGTTACTATTATTAACTAAATTGTTAAAAGTACTAAAATTTTTTTATTGTATATTTGATATTCTGATTTTTTGATATCATAAAAGTTTTAGTTTCCATTAAATTTCATTCATGGTACATAGCATTTTTAAAAAGTGCTTATTTTCGATTTTGGTTTTTTAGTTGCCCTTTAAGATGCTTTAAAAAAGGGGGGGGGCTAAATATTCCTTTTTCCAAAAGATTTTTTTTTTCTTTACCATGTTGATTTTCAACACATTTTATGCAAAAGGATGGTTTTCACATTGTTCTGTTCAATGTTTTCACAATTCATTCAACCACAGTCCTACCATCGGTTGGTAGCATATGAAAAGCACCAATCTTTTTACATGTGCATCTACTAAACTTGGTTCGGTGAGCGGTTCTAACGTTCTTGTGCATAACTCTTCTACAGTCTTTCCACCCTTCTGAAATTGAACCAAAAATTTTTTTGATCTTTTTAGGTTGGCTAATATAATCAAGAAAAGAAATTCTTGTCAGAAACTAGTTATTTTATCATGATCATGTAAAGTCTTTGAAAATTATTTTGCATTTTGTTAATGTATATAATGCTTAAAAATATTTTTTGAGTGCTTTAAAAGTACTTAAAATTTGCTTATTTTTTGTTAAAAGATTTAGCTACGCACCCTGTTATTGAGGTTTAGTTGTAGTATAAATTATTTGTTGATTTTGTGAGTTTCAAAACTAAAATAATAATTTTATTTTTATCTTTAGGTGCATGAAATTGCAAATGCTAAAGATAACTTTACTAGACTTGATATATTGAAATATTGGCATACAGATGGAGGTGTTTTAATTATTAGTTATGACATCTTTCGTAGACTTGCCGGAAATAAAATTCCAAAGCTCAGAAAAAGTCTTAAAGAACAACTCCAGAAATATTTGTTAGATCCTGGTAATTATTATTCATTTTAAACTTTCTGCTTGACTCACTGATTGTGGATCCCCATCTCACTGATTGTGGGTGTATGAATTTTTTCTGGTTTTGTAGTTAGTCCTAATCAGGGCTTCCACGGATTAGGGAGAACAGGGAAAACCTGGAATTGTATTTCGACTATAAAAAAATTAAAAAATAGGGAATAGTTAATGAAAATCAGGGTTTTTTTCTACAAAAACTTGGAATGAGATATTTTTATTTTTGATTTTGAATTTTTACCTTAAATTTATTTGATTAAGAAAATTCTTTACTCTAATACAAACTTTAATTATATATTGGTAAGAGGGAATCTTAATAAATTGATAATGATTATTTTTTAATGCTAGCAATATGTAATATTTCCATGTATTTTTTTGAAACTATTATGAGTTATTCAGTATAAATAGAACTATACTGTAAACTGTTTAAATCTTCTGTTCCAAACAAAGTATTTCGAAAATTAAAAATTCTATGTTTCATTATTTTTGGGGTATAATTTTCTTTTACTGTTTTAAAGTAGAACAGTAATACTTTTTAGTTCGCCTTTCTTAAAAATAACATGTACTGTTTCAAAAAATGTCCTGATTTTTTTTTAAAAATGATATCCAATATTTTCTTTGACACCCACTATGAAGCTTGTGTTAAAGTACCAGTATTTCTAATGTGATGTTATTATGACATGTATATTTCAAATTCTGCATATAAGTAATTACTTTTTTACAAGTGTTCTCATTATTTCCACTATAGATTAAACTAGTTATTTAATTTTTTTTTTCTTTAGCATTCTGTACAGTTTTTTTTTCCTAATTTAATTAAAATATTTTTGCAATGCTCACAAATTTTGGAGTATGCATAAAATAATCTCTTTTATAAGGGATTAGTTAGTAAGAATGATGTTTTGTTTGTCACTTTTTAGGTTGATTGAGCTATGTAATTGCACAGAGTTTTTAAAAGCTGTTTTTTTATTAACTTTTTAAAATGATATCATTAAAGTAAGCAAATTTTAAATTTGAATTAAATTTTTGAGTGGCAGGATTTGCTACAGTTTTATTAAAAGCTTACATTGATGTTTCAATTAGTTTTTTCAGAAGTTATTCTTAAGATTACAACAAAGGTACATATTTTTATTATTACAAATATTATTTTGATATTCAAAAGTTAAAGAAATGGAAGAAAGAGGAAAATGTTTAAAATTTAGCAATTTTTAGAGGAATATTTTTAAACCAATTTGTAGAATATACAAATTTGTCAGTGGTATATATTTTTTAAATTTTTGTTTTTTAAAAAAAATCTTGTATTATCAATTTTGATTGTTTAAAATTACTGCTGATTTTTAGAGCTGCATACAAAGCTCTTATGATTTATTTATGTCTTCCTTAGGCTAGAAATTAGCTACAGTCTTTTATCTATTTTAGACTAAAAAAAATAAAATAAAAAAAACAACTAAATGAAAAACTTACAATTTATTTTTAGTATGAATAACAGCTTTCTTTTTATATTTGTTTTAAATTGCACTAAAATGAAATGTATTAATATGTTTCTAGGGCCTGATATTGTCATTTGTGATGAAGGACATATTTTGAAAAATGAAGCGTCTGCTATTTCTAAAGCTTGTAGTCAGTTAAAAACTGAAAGACGCGTTGTGTTAACTGGTACTCCTTTGCAGAATAATTTGAAAGAATGTAAGTTTAATAGTTATTTACTTTCCCATTAAAAATTGTTTATTGTCAGTAATTCACAATAGGTCTAAACTTGAAATGTCCTGTGCCATTACATTTTTAGCAGATACATGAACAACGATGTACTGTAGTGAAATAAAGCAATTTCTTTTAGATATACATATTTTTAGATGTTGATTTATATAATTTTCGATGCTAATAGATACTTTAGATACTATTATTACTAAGTTTTCCTTTTTCAATTCTTTTGTTATCCAATTGTGCGTATTACTGTTTCACAGATCATTGCATGTTATCATTAGCTAAACTTCATCTCTTGAGAACATCAGAAGAATTTAGAAACTAATTTGTTATTCCTATTTTGTATGGGCAATATTTATTTTAGATATTAATTTACATAATTTTCTATACTTATATGTATATGTTAGGTTTTTTTAAAAAATTTTTGCTATCTTCTTATGTGCATTACCATTTCACAAATCATTACTTGTTATCATTTGTTAAGCCTATCTCTTGATACCATCAAAAGAATTTATAAACAAATTTGTTAATCCTACTATGAAAAAAACAATATTTGTTTTAGATATGCATATTTTTAGATGTTGATTTATGTAATTTTAGATACTAATATACATAGTTTTAGAGAGATTTTTTTAAAAACTTTGTTATCTTATTGTTCGTTTTACTGTTTCACAGATCATTGCATGTTATCATTTGTTAAGCCACATCTCTTGGGAACTTCAAAGGAATTTAGAAATAGATTTGTTAATCCTATTATGAATGGACAATATGAAGATTCTAATGAATATGATGTTAGGCGCATGAAGAAGCGAATTCACATATTACATAAGCTGCTTGAAGGCTGTGTTCAAGTAAATATTGCAATATCTTTCTATCAATACTGCTGCCTAACCTATTTTTATTATTAAATTTAAATAGAAAATAAATCATTTCATTGATATTTTAGAAATTAAATTTCTTTTGTGTATTTTTTAGAGATGTGATTATGCTGCATTGACCAAATTTTTACCACCAAAGCATGAGTATGTGATCAGTGTGAAACTGTCTGAAATTCAAATCAGGATGTATCGTTGGTACCTGGACAATTTATCTAAAGCAAGAGTGGAAACTAAAATTCAAGGCAGTACTTTATTTTCAGATTATAATGCATTGAGGAATCTGTGTACTCATCCTTATATAATTCATACCAGCCATATAAGGGCAGAAAAGAGAAGGGTAATTTTTTTGTGCATTTTAAACTACTTTAAAAAATAAGAAAAAAACATATTGAGTTTTTAAATTATTGATTTATTAAAATCTGTTGTGAATGCAGCTATGATATATGTAGCTGCCAGCTCTACTGGATTTCGCAGTTTCTACTGGTCAGGGCTGATTGTGCTCCGGAAAAATTCCGGATTTTTCGCTAACAGTGATCTGGAAGTTTCCGGAGATCGAAGGTTCAAAGGTGGAACTTAAAAACACAGTTAAATTTATTTGTTTGTTAGGGAAAGCCAGGGAGATACTAAATAAGCTTATATTCATGATTAATATTCATTTTTTATCAGTAAATAGTTGTTATAATCATAAACTCAAGAAAGAAAGACATATTTAAATTTTAATTACTTCTCCAGATACCTGCTATCATAGGTATGTGTAAAATTTTTAATGTATTTTAAGTAAACTAAGAAATATTGAGAAAAAGGGGAAAAAAAACCTTGTTTAAATTTTTTTCAATTTAAACTGCTTTTTTTTTTTAACTCAAGAAATTTTCCGGAATTTTGACTTGGGCTGACAATCACCCCCGGCTGGTTTAATAAAAATTCTCCTGGTTTTTGTACATTTTAGAAAACTCCTTAAAATTGAGTAAGTTTCTTCAAAAATCTCTATTGAAATAGAATTTTTGCACAGATTATTGCTTGCTCAAATAATTAAATTAAGTATTATATATAATAAAGCTAGCCTCGTTTATAAATAATAAAGTTATACTCATAATAAAGCTAGCCTCATTTATAAAAAGTAGTTAAATGCTTATTTGTCCTAAAACGTTTCGCGGTAGACTGATTGTTAAGACATGGTTTCCAATAAAACAGCGAAGTCAAACATCACTGGCTGCGGTCAGTGAGCAGGTGAGTGATCACTTTGATCAGCCTGCATAAGGTCCGAGGGTGCGAGATATCGGCCCTCGTTAAACTGTTTTACCGTAAAGTGCTCAACTTTGTCTGCAGGTCATCGGGCTACCAAAGCAGAGAATCAAAATGATTAGGGTTTTTGATTACATTAAAATTCCCTATGCATAAAATATTTAGCACATTATGCAAGAATTATCATGAAATTTATATTACATAAATTCTACTGGATTTTTTCTTATCCATGTTGGCATCTTTGGATATATATTTTAATAATGTGTTTTCTTTGTATGATAATAAATAGTAATTAGCCTAAATAATTTATCTTGAATCCAAAAAATGTTTACTAACATGTAATAAATGTACAAATAATGCGTAAAAAGGTAATTCAGTCCAGTAGCATTTGTTTCTATCATATGCTGAGTTATCATTGGGATGTGTGTCAGGCCAACCCCCTACTGTAAGGTCAAGGCCTGCTATCTTAGCGCTTTCAAACCTGTGACGTCACAAACAGAAGGTAGCGTCTGTTGTTCTTCTGTTGGCTCTCAATACTTCGTGGATGCCATTGAGTGTGAATATTGATCAATTAATGCTCTTAAATAGTCGGATTGAAGTGATATCGAAGTAAGTAAAAGATACTTTTTTTTATATTACTAAAATGTTAAGTTTGATTTTAACAGATTTTTTTTAATGTGTTGTATATTAAATTTGAAATGAGATCGAAAGCATGTATATAATGTAACTTGCATTGCTGTTATGCTGTGAGAAGTTATTAAAGTCTGTAATGTATTTATGTCTGTTATCTGATCTAATTCCATTTTAATTATGAAAAAACTTATTTTAATATTCAAACATAAAATACAAAAGCATTCGATTGTGTTATTTATGCATGCTTCACGAACTAATGCAACTTTAATGAATCTAAGCGATTTAGATAAATAGACTTAATGTCAATACAATTTTTATTGAGCTTCAGCTCAAGATTTTAAATAACCCTGGAATTGTGGTGTATCTTATTTAATGAAATATACATTTCAATATATCGGGGAAATATGTTTGAATTATACATTTAAATTATACACATAAAAATATATGAGTTACAATGCAATATTTTCTACTGCTAAATCTTTTAGTGTTTATAAGAATAAAACAAGCTATGTCTTGAAATATTAACGCAATGTTTATAATGTTTTGTACTATATTTTTGTTAGATTAGAGATTTGTATACGTCTTTCTCAGTAAACATACTACTTTTCACTAACTAATATAAATAAGCATTGCTAAAAAAAATTTTAAAAGTTGTGATGTCAAAAAGTAATTCTTTTTAATCTTTATGAAATTAAATTTATGCACATTTTTGTAAAAAATACCAGTGTTTATCTGAAGAATGTTGATAGTGTTTATTTTTAGCTATTAGAATTTTAAATTTAACACGCCTGAGGAGAATTTTAATTTTGAAGAATTTCTAAATCCACACGTTAATTGAAATACTAAATACATAATTGAAATACTATTCCAATATTTAGGAACAAAAATATCCGTTTAGTATATATCAAAGTTTGATGTGATTGTTTATTAATAGTTCTTCTAGTGTGCTGTTAAAATATTTTGAGAAAAAGACACTCATTTTAAAGATTGTTAATTGAAATTTGATTAAAATTTGCTGTGTTAGTGAAAATGGATATAGCTATTGTAAATATTTAATATTTGTTTTTAATTATAGGCATGTGGAAAACATTTTGAAGTAGAAGATATAAGAGTAGAGACTTCTTACTTTGATGAAAAGACTGGAAAGCATATCTCCTATACCGTGGAGCGGCATGTTCTCGAAAAAAAAAAGGCGGTTCCGTGCATATTTGAAAACTGTCCTCAGATAGTTCTTTGAGAGAAAACCCATCTTCAAAAAGGTAGAAAATTGAAGAATTTCAACTAGCTGAGGCATTAAAAGCCAGCGAAGAGGCAGCAAGTTTGTATGTTGAAAGCAATTGTTTCGACACATTTTCAAAGCTGAAAGGCTGCTTGGGGATAAAGTTCGGCCGAAGAAATGATGTGTAGTTTTAATGGTGATAAACAGGTGAACTTCTTAAATTTTTCTGATGAAGATGTACAACATATTTTATATATTGTAACTGTATTTGAGGACTTATTTAAGCATATCAATTTTCAAGGCGAGAAACTCTATAACATGATATAATTGACATTTTTGATGCATTAGAATGCCTTGAGAAGCAGCAAATTGATTTGAAAGATTGTTGAGGATAAACATAAGTTTTCCCTAGATTTCATTTTAGAACAATTACATTTTTTAATGTGCAAGCTTGACAGCTCTAGGTATTCTAATACTCTATTTGTTATTTTATATTTCCTCCCAAGCATACAAATTCTTGTGTCAGTCTGGTAATTTAACCTTATCTCTGATCTAAGCACTTTTTGTGCAATATTACACAACATCGTAATATGAGCGATCTGATTTTATGTTTTTAATGTATGCAAAGCAAATGATTTTATCATTGTAAGAAAAGCAACGACATGTTTCTCTGTTGCTTAATGAAATCATCATTCAACCCTACCTTGATTATAAAGGTTGGAATATTGTAGGTACGTCATATGACACTAGTGCTCATACCTTTATGATTCAAAGTAAGCTTAGTACATTTTAAGTCGTTGGTGATATTGTACCTCTCGTCAGTATAGTTGCAGAAAATTTGCATGCTTTGATTAATAGAGTTATTATTAGTCTAGAGCATATTGGTTACATAATATTTGCTGTTACTACTATTAATCATAGAGCTATGTACCTTTTCTATTGTCCTCCAAGACTGAGTTATGTTTATTCTCAACCTTTTGATAATTCATGCCCTCTTTTTTATGTAATTAATTCTGTACATGAAGTTAAGTGCCTTTGTAATAACTGGATCAATAAAAAAAAATGGACAATATATGCATTATCCCCATTTTCATTCTGATACTGAAAAAATACAAACTGCTAGCTTTGACTTTATTCATAAACTATAACAGGATGTGTAGGGTTTTTAAAATGTACTCAAAGGTGCTTATTTCCGATTTTTGTTTTATAAAAGCCCTTAAAGGTGCTTTTTTCATAGGGTGTTTTTAAAAAGTGTTTTATTTTCCCTTTTCCAAAATAAGATATTTTTACCATACTTATTTTTGCGACGATTATGCAAAATGGCATTATTCTATTCAAAGTTTTAGCAATTAATTCAACCTCAATCTATTTAGGCTTGCCTGTCGGTATGTATCGTATGAAAATGCCATTTGTTTTACATGTTTGATGAGATGGTTGCAGGTCTGAATGTGCGTATACTGGGGTGAATTCAGTGGGAAAGATTTTTGCCGTCTCATGTGCAACTCTGCTACATTTTGCAAGCGATTCTCAATTTCAGGATTCAATTAGTTTTGAATTGATGATTTAAGAATACTTCGTATTTATATTCATTAATAATTATCCTTACGTGAAAATTTTGGGTTTTTGACAATTGTCAAAAACTATGTCTAAAAGGGTTTTTTGACATTACGGATAAAATCGTCAATTGTCAAAAACCTGTGAACTCTGCCTAGTTGTGATAGGTTTTTAAAGTGCTTAAAAATATTTTTGAAGTGCTATAAGAGTTAGAATCAAACAATCTATTTAAATATGGATATGATTTGACAAGAAAAGCTTTGTGGCCATCCAATCTTTTACACCAGAATGTGACAATGTTTCCTGGTTGGTACCCCCCAAGCATCACTGGTACCAGAGCACCTGTCCAGGAGGTGCACTCAAAATTCGGTGCAACCGCAAGGATCAGACGGCGCTTACCAGCAGCCACCTTATGTCTCTTTCTTTCGAGGGTAGTGTTAAAATCTTCCCAAACTGCCCCAGGTGCCACAACATCAGGGATGAGATTTTTCCGCTTTTTAGCGGATTTCCACATTTTTCACTTATATCTCTTGAATTTCAGCTTTTTTTTTTAAATCAAAAATTCAGATTTTTCTAAAAATTTCACTTTTTTTAATAAGTATTCCGTTTTTTCAGAAAATTCACCGATTTTCAAAGATAAACAGAAATTTCAAACTACATAGCTACCAATCCTTTCTCATTTTTACTTA